AAAAGTGATATTAAGCTTCATTATTTTGATGTTTAAGAGAATGTGTTTTATTACAACTTTGTCGTAAATTTTAATAATAAAATAACAAAAATACAAGGTGCTGCACAGTGGGAAATATTGGACAAAATTCTCGCCACTCGCCAATTTTCATCGTCTCGTGATTTTTTTTAATAATCTCGTAGTAATCTGAATTTTCATATTCCGGTGAGGTTTTTTTCCGCAATGTCGAAACATTGGGAAAAAATTTTTTACATGCCAAAAGTACGAAATAGATTAAATAGAACCTTACGTAACATGTTATACCCAAACCATGAATTTAAATCTAAAAAACTTAACCTCAAAACCAACATTAAATAAGTTTAAACTCACTAAATTAAGGATTAATAAAAAAATGAAAAATATCTTTATTGTACAGAGATTTTTTTCTACAACTGAACATCGAGTATTTTAAATTTTTTTCTTCGACATTGAGGTTGGGGCGCTCCCTAAGCATAAAAAAAGGGTTTTTCGACAAAACCTCACCGGAATATGAAAATTCAGATTACCACGAGATTATTAAAAAAAAAATCACGACGAGACGATGAAAATTGGCGAGTGGTGAGAATTTTATCCAATATTTCCCACCATACTGTAATAAAAAAAAATATTTAAATAAAAATTGACAAACTGAGAAATTTCATAATTGTTACCTTTAAGTTCTCACAAAATCCATTACGTTTTATATACTCCCCAATTTGTTAAAACAGCAGACTTTCAGCGTAACGATTTTTATTATTATTTATTGGATTGATTTTATTTGTTGTTAATGTTAGGAGAGGCTTTATTGCGACATTTTTTTATTTTGTGTAAAGAAACAAATCGTGCTTGAAACAAATTGTTTAAGCCTGAGAAGAAATACTATGAATAAAACAATAAAAAAAATCAGAAATATATTAATATTATTACAAATACTGCTTTGTAATTTTGTGGAGAGCAAATTTCATATCACAGTTCAGTGATGGATAAAAAACTATTAAAATCCTACATTATTAACGCTAACACATTAATTTGCAAATCTATTCACCTGATTTGCATGTTTGAAATGATTTCTGAAGTGTGTTTTACTGGAATGTAATAATGATATCCACTCTAGTGACAAAGTATATGAAACTACAAAATAAAATTCACATGTTTTAAATGTTACCCTCACATAGCTAACAAAATAATTGGTATTAACATAATATACAGACAAATGTCAATAATGTAGTATTACAAAACATGTAACAAAGGGCTTAAGGTGAAGTGGTGTAAGAGTGTAGTAAAATTGCAATAGCTGAGGTAAAATAAGTTATAGTTTAAAAACGCCAGTTAGTTGGACTTTTGTATATTGGCTATATAATTAGGACACTATTAGTAACAATACCCTATAATATCAAAACATAATGTTGTTGTTGCTTCCATTTACAATTTTTTTTAAAACGATGTCCATGCTACACACTTACCCCTATACTATGAGGCAAGTGTGTAGATGAGCTCTGTTTTACATCATTTTATATAGTCTATTATATGAGGCAAATGTGTAGAAAGAGGTTCATTTTTCGTATAAAATGCTTTTTGAAAAATTGGAATAAAATAATAAAAACTTTTTATTAATGAAGGTACATTTTTTGTTGGAGTTAAAACAATGATAAACTTCTTAAACTTTAAATTTAAAACAGGAATGTATTATACTTCTACTTAAGAACTTCACGTCAACTTATTCTACGTTATATCCAGTAAAACTAATGTCAAAACGAATAAAATTTCGTCTGCCACACACTGAGGGAGTGGGGAGTGTCATCATAATATCATCTCTCGACACAGTAGAACAATCTTCAGGATTTGCCCACACGAATGTTGGTGGTGTTAAGGGATTTAGTGAAGGTACTTTTCTTGTGTATTTTATTTCAAGGTCATCGTCCTCATTAACAGCTATTATTTGTCCGACATAGTAGCGTTTTAATTTTTTTGTGGCAAAAAGTACCAACACCCAATCATTTACAGTAGCATCATTTCTAGTTTTATGGATGTCTTCTATATATTTATCTTGCAATTCATTATCAATAAACTCGTCTCCAAAATCTTCATCGCTATTGTCTTGCAATACTATTTCTTCTTCTGAGGACTCTCCTTCATCTATGCATGTAACAGGATGTATAATTTTTTTATCACTTTTTTTCACTTTTAGCAACTTTTCTTTTTGGTCTTTGAACCTCTCCTTTGGTTTGCTTAACCACTGTTAGCAGTAATTCTTCAAAAGTGGTCTTCTGATTTTTACATGTTTCTAAATAAGGTTCATTATGTGTTGGACACTCGTATGTAGTACATGGCCCAGCGGATGATTCCTGATGTAAATGTGTTTTATTTTCCTGACTGGAATGCTGATGACGTTCCCATCGTTGATACGCCAAGGGGTCATAGTCATCCTTTGTAATGACTTCTGGGTTAAATGGGTATATACCGCCCTTTTTGAACCCATTGCGGATTACTTCCGTTCTAAGTTCCTTCCATATTTCGCCGACAAATTTACTAAAGATTTTTTTTTGTATCTTCTGACCTTCGTGAGTTCTCTGCCACTGTGTAAGGTTGTAATCCCACTTGGTTTTCATAGACACTCAAATCGAGAGGTTGTAATAAATGGGATGAATGTGGGATAGTTTCAATATTGTAACCTCCTGTCCAATAGCTGATGTAATCAGTCTGACATCTACATGGGACACGTGTCCATCGTAAATTAATAAAACTGGTCTCCTGGGGCCAAATGCTTCTAACAACGATTTTTCAAAATATCTTAGGAAAACTTCCGATTCCATCCATCCATTGGTGGTGGCAGCATAGGTCGTACCAGGATAACTGTCATCCGGAGATGCTCTCCATTCACTCCAAATGTTTTCCCCTTGAAAACAATTAAAGGGGGAGCTTTATACCCAGCAGCATTCACAGCCACCAACACTGTAATGTTTTCCCTACCACTGCCAGCTGTTGTTCTCGATGACGGTACACCTTTTTTGCCAACCACTTTTGTTTTTGAGGGATCGAGAAAAAAATTGGTTTCGTCGAGATTCCAAATCTGCTCCGGCTTTTTCCGCAAATCCCAATCATCTAACTGTTTTTGGAGTATATTGAAATATTCTTTGATAATAAAAGGGTCCAGACACTGTTTTCTGACAAATTCAACCGGCGGCGGTTTTTTAATAAAAAGATTATGGCATTTGCGATATCCCAAAAACCAGTCTTCACCTAGCCGTCCCCTTTTAAATGGAGTTTTTATTCCGTTTTTTACGATATAATTTTGAACTAAATCAAGAAGTTCGACTCTGCTTAAGCCCCATCCCCATTTCTCCATGGTGGCTAGACAATGTGCCAACTTTGCTTCTTCTTCAAATGGAAGAGCAGTACTTCTTCCCATTGTTTTACTTTTTTTTCCTCGAAGACCTCTGCGATGGTAACTAACAGTCATTTGCGGAATATTGTATTTCTTTGACGCTGTGTAAGCAGTCATTACACCATTTCTTACATCTTCGACTGCTTTTTCCAAAACTGTTTTCGTGTATGATGTGGCTCTATTTGATTTTCGTTTATATGTTCGAACCATTTTATCTACAAAAATGGTATATAATATAATAGTGAATGTGCATGGGGCAAGTGAGTTACTTGCCTCGCATATTTACTACACAGTTGCCCCAATGCATAGTTTGACCGAGGCAACTGTTTAGTACATCACTTGTGTTTTTTTTTTTGTTAAATATTGAATTAAAATACACATGAAATTAATAATTAACTTACTTCTCCTATACTGTTTTATATTTACAAATTTCAAATTGTTAAATTTAACAAGGATGACACTGGATTTAAAATAACACTACACACTACTGTTCACATGTGCATTTAACTAATAAGTAAACATGACTGATTCTAAAATCGTAGACACAAGAATGGCATGTTTTTTAATATGGAGGGAGAGGTATGATGAATACCAACGACTGTGTATAGATGGCGTACCATCAGTTAATTTAATAAAAATTTTGTGGTCCATATAAACACTTACCCCAGATACACAGTTACCCCACTTAACCTTATTATTTTCTTAACTAAAAAATAAAAAACAAAAAATTATATAAAACCTAGTTTTAATCACTAGTACACACCTTTTTCATTGATTTGAGGAGGTTTTCTTAATTCATTAGGAGTTTTTTGTGATGTCTCCTCTTCACTAGATGAAAACCGTAAGGGCCCTTTTCTATTTCTTTTTAGCGGCACATCTTCATCAGTATCGGAGGCCAAATCAGATTGATACTGAACCACTTTCAATTTTTTTTGAGCTTTTTGAAAGTCGTCTATAAAATAAAATTATTTTAACAACACAATTAACTATAAATATAAATTTTAAATGTACCGCTTTCATAAAATTGCCTTACTATTTTGTGAATCTTCCAATTCTCTGTATCTACTTCAACAGTATCTTTTACATATTGGTCATAATGTGTCTCTTGTTTTACTGATGGCCAAAATATTTCCTTCCTTCGAGGAGTAATCCAAGATTTTGCTACTATGGCCACTCCACCATCCTCAAACTCAACTAAAACGTAGGACATTTCTAAATTATGCTACAAGAAATAATAAAAACCTATAAATGTCTAAAGCAAAGTATAAAAGACTATGAATTCTTTTTTTTTTTCAAAGGTTTTAATGAATTTAATAAGCTATTTGGGGAGATAAGAAATACAGAGTCCTTGAATTTATTTAAGTATAGTTTAAGAAATTTAATTAAATATAAATAGCTAGAAACGTTTATAAAAAATTATATTGGTAGTTATATGTACTTTAGGCTAAGTGAGATACATATAATTTAAATTGTGTACTTGATGAATTTTTCTGAGTAAACATGTATTACGTACTTATACGTTAACAACAACCTTACAACAGGTCTATTCCAACAAGAGTCAGGGATTNATGGTACTTAGTTTTCAATTCCTGATTCTTTTCTAGTCTCTTTTCTAATAATTGAAGTCTTCGTATGGCTGTTTGTAAGGAATCGCCTAGTAGTACGGAATCATTCTTGGGCAGGCTGACAATATAACGACCTTCGTTATCTCTTTTGGTTGTAGTTTTGAAGTATTCCTCGCACTGACTTTCTTCTGGAGAAAATCGTTCCCTTTCTGTTAACTCTTCTGTCTTCCAGAACCTTTCGATTTGTATTTCTAGATTGTCGTTCACTGATAGATGACAAGTTGATCTTGGATTTGAATTTGGATTGTTAACTGGGCCAGATATGATCCATCCTAGCTGCGTTTCCTGTAAAATAGGTTGTCCTTTTTGCAACTTTATTTTATTTGGACATAACAATTCCCAGAATAACTCTGCCCCAATCAGGACATCTATGCTGCCGGGAATGTTGAATTTCGAATCTGCAAGTTGTATGTTTACAGGTAAATTTAGGTTGACCTTATCAATTTTATATTGAGGAAGTTTACTAGTTAACCTTGGTACTATCAAACAGTTTAATTTGAATGAAGAATTGTTATAACAAGATTTGAATTTTATACTTGTACCTTTCGTAATGTTTGTGGATGTTTCATTAATTCCCGTTACGGGTAAGGAAATATGTTGTGTGCCTAGTTTCAATTTTTTATGTAATTCTTGCGTGATGAAATGAGATTGGGACCCCGTATCTAGTAGGGCTCTGCATATATGTAACTGTCCATCCTTGTCATAAATCAGAATTTCTGCTGTAGATAATAAAATGTTGACTGGTTCCTTGTGTGCACAATGAGCTGAAACTGTGTTGTTTTGATGTGTTTGAGTTTTTGATTCCGTGGATGAGGTACTTGAAGTGTTTGCTTGTTGATCGTCTACTTGTGAGACTGTTGTAGTATTGTAATCCCTGTGTAGTAACGAGTGATGTTTTCGGTTACATTTCTTGCATGCTATGGACCTACAGTGTTGTGCCATATGACCAAACTTTAAACAATTGAGACACAAGTTAAGCCTTTTTACTTCTTCTGTTCTATTGTTTACTGAGAGATTTATAAATTCCTTGCAGGCATATATGGCGTGACCATTTTTGCAATAAGCACAAGTCCATTGTGGAGTCTTGTTCTGTTCTGTTGTTGTTGCTAATACTACCTTCTTGTCTGACCTGTTATACTTCACATTTTTGTCAATCATTTCTAATGTTTGACATTTGCTTTCCAGAAATTCTAGGTATTCTTCAAGAGTTGGCATTTCATTTGTTTTGTTTGCTGGTCTGTTGTTTAGTTTTTCTTCCCAATCCTTTGATGTACGACTGTCCAGTTTTGAATTCAATAAATAAATTATCAAAGTGTCCCAGCTTGCTACCGGTTCTTTCAGCGTTTCCAACGATGCGATGTGATTTCTTGTCGAATCTATAAATTTTCTTATAGTAATATGATTTTCTTTATATATGTTTGGGAGTTCAAATAATTCTTTTACATGTGTATTTATTATTAATCTTCTTTTTTCATACCTTTTTTTCAGTAATACCCATGCCTTTTGATAGTTATCTCCGGTACATTGCAATGCTTGGATTACTTGAAGCGCTTCTCCTTTCAATGAACTTCTTAAATATTGGAACTTCTGAATTTCAGACAACATCGGGTTTTCTTGCAGCATTGATTGAAATGAATCCTTAAAATGTAGCCATTTGTCATATTCTCCATTGAAGGTAGGTATTTGTATTGTGGGTATTCTTGTTTGTACTCTCTCCACTTGAGGAGCAGGATCCTTTTCTGGTTTAGGAGATAGATCTAAAATAGTTTGAGTTAATTGTGATATTGTTGCAAAATATATGTTTTCAAATTCTGTTCTTTCATTGTTTTGTGAAACATCTTCAGGAACTTCACATTCTATGACAGATTGCACTTCATCGAATTTATCCTATAATGTTTCTGCTTTTTGTAACCTTGCTTGAATTGGTATGGGATTTTCCTCCTTGTAGTTTTCAAGATAATTTTTTATTCTTGTTAACTGCGCTTTTACTTGGCCTCGTTTTATTTTTAATTGTGTTAATTCTTGATTTGCCATTTTTTGTTTGTTTTGTGTAACGATTTATTTTGTTTCAGGTTAACAGAAAAACAGGGAATGCGAGGAGGAAATGAGACTCACTTACCTTTAAATTCCTATGTCCAGTTTACCGACGTCCGCTCTCGATGCTTGGAATGTTCGGCGATCGGCGCACGTGCGACTGCGATCTGGATGGAACTGGATTCGACTAGCGTGTGGCGATGCGCCGCTGATATTTTTCGTTTGTTAATTACTTCTTACTCACTGTTTTTGCTTAAATCTTGCCTTTTGATGCTTGGATATGATCCCATGTAATGTATTTGATTTCCAATAAAGTACTTTGAAGCAATCAGCTGGTGATTCACTTGCATAAATGTCTGTATTAACGGTTGAAGTTCACTTACTGTTTTGTTGCACTGGGCACTGTTATTTATAGATAGCTGTTTCAAATCCGCTCGAATTGACCATATGGAGGGTTATGTGATAAGGATTTGAGTTTTTAAGTTCGAAGGACCTTTGTGATAGATTTAATTCATTATTTTTCTGATTAAACATTTATTACGTACGTATCTTAACAGCAACCTTTACAAACTAAACTAGCTGGAGCGGGGAACAAAGCATGGCGGTACGGCCACACGCAAACTAGTATAAGTTCAGGAACACCAACTGAAAACTGACTTGTCAAGAAACTACTATTAGACCAGGAAAATTAGCGAAAAAAAAGAGAAAGTCGAAAAAATTCCTATCCGCGATATTATTGCAAAATTATCTAAAGGAACATTTTTGTAATTAAAAAAAATTAAGTACAAAAGATGCATTTTTTCTGGGGTTCAGGGCTATTCTACGAATTCGTAAATATACCCATTGTTATTTTTTCGTCGAGCTAACCCAGTTTTAAAAAAAATAAGTTTCTACGATGGATAGAAGCCGAGATATTACAAAATTTACAGCGCGCATAAATTTGAACTTTGGATTTCACTTTTCTCGCGCGCGACTCGCTTGAACGAGCTTCCCCCACCACCACGCCGGACAATTCACTTAGCAAGTACCTTCTATTTAAAGGGCTCGTGAGTCGTTAATTTTCCACATTTTTCAATACAATTCACGGGAAATCGTAGTTTACGTCGAAACTTTAATTTGCGAAAAATTCAAGTCTTAATGTTTATAAACAATTGCGCTACGATTTAAAAAAAAAATTCTTGTCTTGGCTCCTGTTGGTCGTAGAGAGTACTTTTTTAAATTTGTATTTTTTTGCCAGCTATCCATTGTATCTATTTTCGGTGAGGTAGCATAAATAGCAACAATTTTATTCAAATTGTTTATAAGCGAAAAACGCACGGTTTTTTAATGCACAATTTGAGAATGTTAATGTCAAAAAAACGGTGANCTACATTGTCTAACGATTGATTAGGCCAGTCACATGATGAGGTTAAATATGCTGGGCCTAACCACCACAATTGATTGGTTATCAGATTGTTGGCTGTAGTTCCTCTTGAAAGTACATCAGCAGGGTTTTGTTTCGATGGCACATGATACCAAGGAATGTCAGGGGATAGTCTTTGAATTTCTGCTACTCGGTTGGATATGAATGTTTTTAATAGATGAGGAGGCGTTTTTATCCAGGTAAGTACTATGGTAGAATCTGTCCAATGGTATGTGTTTCTTATTTTTTCCTTTAAAGCTTTCTTCACTATGGATGTAAGTTTGCATAACAATAGTGCTCCATTTAATTCCAATCGAGGAATGGATAGGGTTTTCAGAGGTGATATTCTTGATTTGGAACAGATTAAATAAGAATGCATGTTGCCTTTTTTGTCACTACTTACTGCATAAATTGCTGCGCCAAATGCCTTTTCAGAGGCATCGCTAAATCCATGAATGTCGAATGTTAATTGTGCATTGTTCGGATTGACGTTACGTGGAAGTTTTATGTCCTGGAGATGTCTTAATTCATTATAGAATTCTAACCATAATTTTCTAAGGGAATCAGGAATTGGTTCATCCCAGGATAAGTTTAGTTTCCATAGCTGTTGCATAATGAGTTTTGAAGATGTCACTACTGGTCCAATTAATCCTAAGGGATCCTTTAAAGACAGACTGTATTGAATTGTGTCATCTTGTGAATTCCATAGAAGCCCTAAAGTTTTGATAGGTTCCTCCTTGTTTAACACCATGAGCGATTCGTATTTGCCTTGTTGTAGATCTTCTAACATGGTTGAGTCATCGGATCTCCATTTACGTAGAGGTAGTTTTCCCTTGTCTAATAATTTCATGAGTTCCTGCCGTAACCTTAAAGTTTGTTCTTTTGTGGAGGATCCTGTCAGGAGATCGTCCATATAGAAATCATTTTTGAGAGCTTGCTTTGCTAGGGGATAGTTTTCACCTTCGTCTTCTGCTAGTTGAGCTAAACATCTTGTAGCCAGGAAGGGCGCCGAAGAAGTTCCATACGTAACTGTATTTAGGGTGAATATCTTTATTTCGTCATTAGAATCCTTTCTCCAACATATCCGTTGTAAGTTTTTATCCGAGTCATGGATATTGATTTGTCTATACATCATTGCTATGTCTGCTGTAAGAACATATTGATGAGTTCGGAATCTTAATATAATGTGAATTAGATCTGGTTGTATTGTTGGACCAACAAGTAATAAGTCATTTAGTGATGAACCTGATGTGGTTTTAGCTGATCCATCGAATACCATTCTAACCTTTGTGGTTACACTGTGATCTCGAACAACGGGATGATGTGGTAAGTAGAATACCTTGTCGCCTTCAACTTTGTTTTTAATTTCAGACATGTGTCCCATTGCTTGATATTCATTCATAAAATGATGGTACTTGGTTTTCAATTCCTGATTCTTTTCTAGTCTCTTTTCTAATAATTGAAGTCTTCGTATGGCTGTTTGTAAGGAATCGCCTAGTAGTACGGAATCATTCTTGGGCAGGCTGACAATATAACGACCTTCGTTATCTCTTTTGGTTGTAGTTTTGAAGTATTCCTCGCACTGAATTTCTTCTGGAGAAAATCGTTCCCTTTCTGTTAACTCTTCTGTCTTCCAGAACCTTTCGATTTGGATTTCTAGATTGTCGTTCACTGATAGATGACAAGTTGATCTTGGATTTGAATTTGGATTGTTAACTGGGCCAGATATGATCCATCCTAGCTGCGTTTCCTGTAAAATAGGTTGTCCTTTTTGCAACTTTATTTTATTTGGACATAACAATTCCCAGAATAAGTCTGCCCCAATCAGGACATCTATGCTGCCGGGAATGTTGAATTTCGAGTCTGCAAGTTGTATGTTTACAGGTAAATTTAGGTTGACCTTATCAATTTTATATTGAGGAAGTTTACTAGTTAACCTTGGTACTATCAAACAGTTTAATTTGAATGAAGAATTGTTATAACAAGATTTGAATTTTATACTTGTACCTTTCGTAATGTTTGTGGATGTTTCATTAATTCCCGTTACGGGTAAGGAAATATGTTGTGTGCCTAGTTTCAATTTTTTATGTAATTCTTGCGTGATGAAATGATATTGGGACCCCGTACCTAGTTCCTTGTGTGCACAATGAGCTGAAACTGTGTTGTTTTGATGTGTGTGAGTGTTTGATTCCGTGGATGAGGTACTTGAAGTGTTTGCTTGTTGATCGTCTACTTGTGAGACTGTTGTAGTATTGTAATCCCTGTGTAGTAACGAGTGATGTTTTCGGTTACATTTCTTGCATGCTATGGACCTACAGTGTTGTACCATATGACCAAACTTTAAACAATTGAGATACAAGTTAAGCCTTTTTACTTCTTCTGTTCTATTGTTTACTGAGAGATTTATAAATTCCCTGCAGGCATATATGGCGTGACCATTTTTGCAATAAGCACAAGTCCATTGTGGAGTCTTGTTCTGTTCTGTTGTTGTTGCTAATACTACCTTCTTGTCTGACCTATTATACTTCACATTTTTGTCAATCATTTGTAATGTTTGGCATCTGCTTTCCAGAAATTCTAGGTATTTTTCAAGAGTTGGCATTTCATTTGTTTTGTTTGCTGGTCTGTTGTTTAGTTTTTCTTCCCAATCCTTTGATGTACGACTGTCCAGTTTTGAATTCAATAAATAAATTATCAAAGTGTCCCAGCTTGCTACCGGTTCTTTCAGCGTTTCCAACGATGCGATATGATTTCTTGTCGAATCTATAAATTTTCTTATAGTAATATGATTTTCTTTATATATGTTTGGCAGTTCAAATAATTCTTTTACATGTGTATTTATTATTAATCTTCTTTTTTCATACCTTTTTTCCAGTAATACCCATGCCTTTTGATAGTTATCTCCGGTACATTGCAATGCTTGGATTACTTGAAGCGCTTCTCCTTTCAATGTACTTCTTAAATATTGGAACTTCTGAATTTCAGACAACATCGGGTTTTCTTGCAGCATTGATTGAAATGAATCCTTAAAATGTAGCCATTTGTCATATTTTCCATTGAAGGTAGGTATTTGTATTGTGGGTATTCTTGTTTGTACTCTCTTCACTTGAGGAGCAGAATCCTTTTCTGGTTTAGGAGATAGATCTAAAATAGTTTGAGTTAATTGTGATATTGTTGCAAAATATATGTTTTCAAATTCTGTTCTTTCATTGTTTTGTGAAACATCTTCAGGAACTTCACATTCTATGACAGATTGCACTTCATCGAATTTATCCTATAATGTTTCTGCTTTTTGTAACCTTGCTTGAATTGGTATGGGATTTTCCTCCTTGTAGTTTTCAAGATAATTTTTTATTCTTGTTAACTGCGCTTTTACTTGGCCTCGTTTTATTTTTAATTGTGTTAATTCTTGATTTGCCATTTTTTGTTTGTTTTGTGTAACGATTTATTTTGTTTCAGGTTAACAGAAAAACAGGGAATGCGAGGAGGAAATGAGACTCACTTACCTTTAAATTCCTATGTCCAGTTTACCGACGTCCGCTCTCGATGCTTGGAATGTTCGGCGATCGGCGCACGTGCGACTGCGATCTGGATGGAACTGGATTCGACTAGCGTGTGGCGATGCGCCGCTGATATTTTTCGTTTGTTAATTACTTCTTACTCACTGTTTTTGCTTAAATCTTGCCTTTTGATGCTTGGATATGATCCCATGTAATGTATTTGATTTCCAATAAAGTACTTTGAAGCAATCAGCTGGTGATTCACTTGCATAAATGTCTGTATTAACGGTTGAAGTTCACTTACTGTTTTGTTGCACTGGGCACTGTAATTTATAGATAGCTGTTTCAAATCCGCTCGAATTGACCATATGGAGGGTTATGTGATAAGGATTTGGGTTTTGACGTTCGAAGGACCTTTGTGATAGATTTAATTCATTATTTTTCTGATTAAACATTTATTACGTACGTATCTTAACAGCAACCTTTACAAACTAACTAGCTGGTGCGGGGAACAAAACATGGCGGCACGGCCACACGCAAACTAGTATAAGTTCAGGAACAAGGGATATTTGCGAGTATAATAGGTAGATACAAAAATAAAGAGGGCTCGATGGGAGCATTCTAGGTAGCAATGAAGAAATTGTCACTGTGAGTATTACTTCATAAAAAAAAGGAACAGTAACAATTAATGCAAGTGTGGCATTATATTTTTGAGAACCTGTAGAGAATGTTAAAACCAACACTTAAGACTGACTAATACTAATATTCATTATAGCCCGTCTACTATATGTAAGAGTCATTACTATTTTGATAAATTCAAAGCACGAACATGACACTGACCTAACCTAAAACCCAGAAACGGACTAAACACTCAGACATAGGACGCATTATTTGGAATCATTTAAATCAGTCATTATTGTTCATGGGTTATGAGTTACGACGTCGCCATAGTTAATAAAAGAAATGATGACTAGACAAAGACACGGACTGTTTACTGTGGCAATCCCACAATGCGAGATAAAAATTTCATGCGGGAGAAAACCTCCCAAGAAACGTCAAAAAACGTTTAGTTTACTGTGGCAATCCCACAATGCGAGATAACAATCTCATGCGGGGGAAAATCTACCAAGAAACGTCAAGAAACGTTTAGTTTATTGTGGCAATGCCACAATGCGAGATAACAATCTCGTGCGGGAGAAAATCTCCCAAGAAACGTCAAGAAACTTTTAGACAGACATGGACTGTTTTTTTCTTTAAATTTGTGTTATGACGATCTCACCTTAAAACCAATGCGACAATGTACTAAATTTTTGACCATGGCCTATTTCAATTTTAATATGTTGTAGGTTGAAACACATTGCTGAAAAAGCAATATAAACCGGATGAATTCATTATTTATGTTACAGTTCTCTGTTGCTTGGAGCGAGGATGTTGAGAAAGAGAGAGAGAGAGAGAGAGAAAACCAGTGTGGCCGTACCGTACAGCAATTTGAAAAAGAAAACACCGTTCAGCTCTGCTAAAAAGAAAATAATAGGCGATCAAATTGTTCATCTCTAGACTAACATGTTATAATTTAAAATTGTTGATGTTTCTTAATGAGGTTACGGTTTTCAAAAATATTTTATATTTATTTATTAAACATTTACAAGTAATTAAATTATGTCTTTATAATTACTTATTAATTATTTTATCAATAGCAATATACTCAATTCATTTCAAAATTAATTATCAATTACTATTCAATGTATATATTCATAACTTTTTATATTACATTGTTTATAACATAATATAACAGTTTCAAATAGATGACGAGGGTATAGTGAAATGGTTCAATTTACTCTGTATCAAAACGAATAAATCTAACTCACGTGACCGTTGTCTTAAAATTCCATATTCCATAGGTTAGTTCTTTCTTTAAAATCTCAACCGTTGAAGGGATTGCTTCGTAGCTTCATTAGCTCGTTGAAAGATATTAACAATTGTGTAACTTTTGGAAAGTTAATCAACGTGGAAGTTGGATTTCGTTAATAATATTTATATAGGGTTTATCCCGTAAGCAGCTGTGCTGGATTTTATTTCACGAGGAGAAGCTCACTTAGGCAAGAATTTTTCTTTGTATAATTTTCTGTGATGGTTTGGGATTCAAAAATATTCACATCGAAATATTAATCTATTTTTTAGGCTTCTTTGAGCCGGTCCCACATCGTCTTATTATTACGATTATTTGGAAAATATAAGATTTTGGAAGTACGACAGACGGGCATGGTCATAGGTTATAACACCCCGATCTCGGGAGAATTTTCGTTGACAACTATACGATTGGACATCCTGCCTTCCCACCCTAATGAACTCGTTCCACTATCACCACGCTCCGTGATTCTGTTAGCGGAGTAGAGTAGCTATTCTGAGACAACACTTGTTGATATTTGGAGGACTACCCACCACCGACACCACCTCAGTTCCCTAAAGAGCTAGCAAGGAACCACCCCGCGTCGTAGGAATATATACCTAGTTTTAACACCTCGATTGAAGATAAGTACCTCGCCTCTCTATTCTTCACTGTTTATTTGATATCTGTATTGTAGTACATATAGTTTAATTTGATGATATTAGTTTTAAGGATTTTGGATTTATAAATTACCTAACTGTACACAATTTGCAATTGAACTTTGGGGGAGATAACTAACGATATTTGTGACATAAATTTGACGTTCAACCTTATACAGGGTGTTACGAAATTCGCGGACATGGACTATGGGATCATGTTAAGCTAGATAAGGCCATAAAAAAATGTCTGTATCATTTTTCAATCAGACCGATATTTTTCGAGATACGCCAACGTCGCTTTGGTTTAAACGTATGGTGCGGATTATTAGGATTATCATTCAATCGATTCCAACCACTTTTTAGTTCATCCACATTATGCCATACCGTTTAAACGCACAAAATTATTTGGATTTCCTGCAGCAACAACTCTCAGAATTCATGGATGACGTACCCCTAAATGTGCGTCAAAATATGATTTTTATGCACGATGGCGCAGTCCCCATTTCGCATTACTTGTGCGGGATTACCTAAATAATACTTTCCCTGGACGTTGGCTTGGCAGAGGCGGTCCATTTGCTTGGCCACCTCGTTCTCCAGACCTAACGCCATGTAATTTTTTCTTTTGAGGCTTCCTGAAAACGTTGGTGTACAGAACGCCAGTGGCAAATTTGAAAGAATTGCAGAACCGCCTATTTCAATCTATACAGCAAATAACACCAGAGATGATACGCAACTCCACTGGAACAGTAGCACAACGTGCTGAAGCATGTTTAACAGCAGACGGTGGAAATTTTGAACAATTTTTGTAACTCGTTTGTCGTAATTGTTTATCTAATGATTGAAAATTGAAATTTATAAATATATATTTTTATTATTTTTGAATATTTGATACTGCTATATCTCGAAAAATACTGGCCTGATTGAAAAATCATACACTTTTTTATCACCTTATCTAGCTTAACAAGATCCCACAGTCCGTGTCTGCAAATTTCGTAACACCCTGTATATCTTATTGATTCTCTACATGATTAGTAAATGATATACAGAGTTCACCCGTAAGTTTCTTTTATCATCAGTCCCTGCAGTGAACGATAGGCAAACACCGTTTATTAATAAATAACTTCCTTTTCATAGGTAACCTTGTGTGCTCTGACTTAAAACAAATTCAACCCTGAGATTAAGAGTGCTGCCTTTCCAACTGCAAGATTTACTGACTTCTGACTAGTAGAGTTGTAGAGGCTGGAATAGCGTAGCAATGTTTTAAGGTCAATGTTGAGGCAGTCCCAAATACCTCGTAACAAAATAGTGCAATGTGATCTTTGTTTGGGATAAGAAATAAAAACACAGAGCTGAATGCTATTCAATATTGTATTCAGTGTTCTCAGTTCATACTGTTTACATAACTTTTCCTAGTGCGAGGACGCCTCATAAGCAGGATGGCCGTGTTAGATGCTAATTGTTAGAGAGGGATATCATCCACTACGTCGCTATTACTGAGTCAGCAAGAACCCCTTTCGGAATGAGCGAGCAGTCGAGGTGAAGCGCGGTCCGCGGGGTCGGCGAGCACGAGTCACGGGAGTCGCCAGAGTCCCGACATAGCAAATAAACAAGAGATAACTCTGTAGTTTGAGGGAATAAACCGATTGTTGAAATTATGTGTTTTAATTGGGAATGAAAACCCCCATGGTTGCTAACATATATTCAATATAAAAAGGTTAAAATAAAACGTATAAAGAATAAATCACAACAAAGTCCGCGTCAGTGGTGTTGTTAAACTTTCTAATCATATAATTTATCGGTGCAGGTTACTCTTCTTTTCGAGGATCGATCACCCGATCGCCAAACTTCCACCGTCGACTTTCGTTTTTCCTTTGTGTCGTAGGGGCGGACGTTTTGATGGCGCATTTTTACATTTCGTTGCTTAAAAGTGCCTTTCAAAGAGCCTCTGCGGACGATTTCGCTGCTGCGAGTGTTCAGAGTGTTCAGATTTTCGCAAAGCCCGGACGCCGAAAACATCGTTTGCGGAAAAATGTAATTTTTGGCATTATGAAAATTTTTGTTTACTTCGGCTATGAACGGGAATTGAAATACCGATACCGACAAATTTTGTCTAGAGGCGATGATAGCTCAGCGGTGAAAGTGTCACGTTATAACCAAGGTCGATAGAGATGGAAATGAAGATGGAGATGAAGATGGAAATGAAGATAAGGATGAAGATGATGATAACGCTCATGTAAATGATGGTGATGGAGATTGTGGTGATGTAGATAATGATTATGCAGATGATGTAGATAATGATGTACGTGATGGTGGTGTAGAGGATGGTGATGTATATGATAGTAATGTAAATGGTGATGTAGATGATGATAGTGTACATGATGGTGTAATGCCTCTGCTGGTCAGGACTCAGAGAATCTTCGACGAGGAAAGGCAAGGGAACAAAAACTCTCAACTGTGCACTAATTATACATTTTATTGCAGAGTAGATGGGTTCAGTACCATGGCGCTAGGACTCCTGCTCTTCGTTACCTCGTCTATAATTCAACTAGCTATATCCTCTTTTAGCTATATACATCACATATTAAAAACTACTTAGCGACTTACATTACTTACTTGATAATTAATTACGAAATGCTGAGCTGGACTCTTTCCTAACCGCAATCAATGTTGATATAATTTGTAACACCAATTAGGTTACGAATCCAGTACACCTTTAAACTTTTAACTCCGAAAAGCAAAAAAAAATTGCTGTTCCTTTTTACGTAATGTATTAGTTATAATATCGTTTAACCCTATTCTTATGCATTTCTACATGTTTATTGTCAATATCTAAAACTATATTATAACATTTATCTTCTAAAACTTTGTAGGGATTTAGAGTGTCCAACTTATTGTACTTACTCTCATTATATACTAAAACCATATCTCCTTTTCTATAACCTACTTCTTTGCAATTCCTATCATGTTTTTTTTTCGATCTTACTACTAACAAGTTAGACCTGGCATCATTCCAAGCTGTTTGTAATCGAAATTTTAATTCTGTTGGGTAATAT